CCTGAAGGAACGGCCTCTGCCTCGCTGGAACTGGCCCCTAGACGGAGCACCACTGAAACTACCCGAACCTCGAGGCTTCTTTGCCTCCCTCTCCTCATGCTCCCGACGGCGAACCGTCTCAATCTCTCGAGCCATGTCAACTACCTCCTCAAAGGAGTCACCCATAACCCTCTCTCTGGTCATCAAAATGCGGAGTGAATAGTTGAGGCCATCCACGAACCTCCTAATCCTTTCCCGATCTGTCGGGATCATCCAAGTGGCATGCCGAGCTAGCTGCGTGAATCTCAACTCGTACTGGGTCACAGACATGTCCCCCTGAACCAACCACTCGAACTGACGACGTAGCTCCTCCCTGTGAGACTGCGGTACGTACTTCTCCAGAAAGAGAGTGGAGAACTGCTGCCATGTAAGGGGCGCTGCACCAACCGGCCTACGCCTCTCGAAGTCCTCCCACCAGGTGAATGCAGACCCTAAGAACTGGAAAGTAGTAAAAGCCAAACCACTCGACTCTAAGATCCCTGCAGTGCGAAGCATACGCTGACACTTATCCAGAAAACCCTGGGCATCCTCGCCCTCAGCACAGCTGAACCTCGGAGGCTGAAGCCTGCCGAATCTCTCAAGACGACGCTGCTCATCGTCCGGCATAGCGGGAATCTCATAGGCTGGAGCTGGTGCAACTGGTGCAATTGGAGCAACTGGAGCAACTGGAGGAGCTATGGCTGCTTCCGGTGTTTGAAGTCCCTGGGCAGCTTGCTCAGGTGTGTGAGCAACAGGGGTCTGATGTCCTCCCCCTGTCTGGGAAGCAGCTACTGCAGTAGAAGCTAAGACTGCCTGAGCCAGGACAGTGCAAACTGATAGTATCTGTGCCAAGGTCTCCCGGAGACCAGGAATAGCAATAGACACTGCTGGTGCCTGCACAGGTGCTGCTGGGACATCGACAACTGGAGTCTGGTCCTGAACTGTGGCAGCTGGTGGGTCAGCAGGTGCTGTCTCTGCTGCCCTACCTCGACCACGACCACGACCGCGTCTACGGCCTCTAGTGGGTGGTACTGGTGGTCGACCATCGCGTCCGGTAGCACGAGTTCTCGCCATCTGCGAGAGAATAAAATACAGGAATTTAGTTCTCGAATCACAAAGCCGCACGACAAGAATTTCAAGAATATGGAGTTTTCCTAAAGGTTCTGCAACCTCTCGAGGAGAAGTACAGGCGTCCCTGTACCGTTCCGCGAGACTCTACTAAACCGGCTCATGACTCGCGAGGCCTAGTAACCTAGGCTCTGATACCAACTTGTCACGACCCCAATCCCGGTCGTGATGGCGCCCAACACTAGTGCTAGGCAAGCCCGACCAAATTAAATACTCTCCACCCAAATACGCAATCCATTAACAAATAACGATTAAAATAGAAAATATCAAAGCTCCAATCCAAATCTAAATAAAATAGTACGAAATATAATAACGAATATCCAAACATTCCCCAATACATCTGGAGTCACGAGTCTAGAGCCTCTAGATGTAACAGAGTAATATATCCATAGTAATAAAGAAGTCTAGGATATGGAAAGACAAATGAAATAAAGGGGAGGAGTCGGGTCCTGCGGACGTCAGGCAGCTACCTCAACAACTCTTGAAAATAAACTTCACGAAAACGGCAAACAGCTCCACTAAGTCTCCGGAGCACCTGAATCTGCACACATGGTGCAGGGAGTAAAGTGAGTACTTCCAACTCAGTGAGTAATAAACATATATAATGGCTGAAAGTAAGAAATCCCGAAATATTACAATATAAAGCTATAATCAACGATTTCGCACATAAAACGGTGGAACAACAACAATACCAGGACAAATAAGACAAATAGGTATAAATGCATGAATGCAATGCAATGCACATGACCGCTGCGGCGTGCAGCCCGATCCATTTGGGTACCCGCGCTCACTGTGGGGGTTCAGACTCCGGAGGGGCTCCTACAGCCCAAGCGCAATATCATCGTAACATTCGCTGCGGCGTGCAGCCCGATCCACACTCAGTCCAGGTATATATATGCATGCAAGCCAATCGGGCACAGTCAAATTGTTCATTTTAGTTTCAATTATTAGGAATTATAGAGCTAAGTGTTTAAACCTTTATTTATTTACTAAACATTTCGAGGCAGTGTCTAACTCAGGACTGATATCATGAAATATGCTAAGCATCATGGAAGCAGTGATAAGGATCCCTGAAGGATGCACATGATAGGCAGAAAGCCCCAAACAATTCATAAACTCCAAGTAGGATAATTACCAAATAATTTCTAGTCAAGAACGCAGTACGAACATAATTCAGAACGGACTAGGTCACAATCCCCAGTCACAATCGACCCCGCACTCGTCATAGAGTACGTGTCTCGCCTCAATATAGCGTCACAATGTGATATACCGGGGTTTCAAACCCTCAGGTCATCATCTACATCTATTACTCACCTCAAGCCGGCCACAAGTCTAGCTCGCTATGCCTTTGCCTTTCGAATCAACCTCTTCGCACGCCGAATCTGATTAAAACCACAACGAATACATTACAATAGGCTAAAGAAACATAACCCAATCGAAAAGACTCGAAAAACACCAAAATTCACGAAGTTGGCAAAACCCGAGCCCCGGGCCCACTTCTCGAAAAATTACGAAATTCACATTACCAGATTCCTCGTCTCGCCACGAGTCCGTACATATAAAATTTACCAAAATCGGAGTTCAAATGCCCCTTCAAATCCCAAATTTTCATTTCAAAACCCAAGCCCTAGTTCTTCAAATTTATACCCAATTTTCCAAGAATTAAAGGTTGATTCTTCAATAAAATAGCGTTTCTAGGTCACGAGACTTACCTCCAATTCAATTCCCTGTCAAAAATCCTCTTTAGTTTCTTACAACAGGCTCTTAAGGTAGTTAACAATGGTAGGAAAAAATGAATAGACGTCGCGGAGAAATAATAATATAAAAAACCCTTCTGCCCAGCGACTTTCGCTTCCTCGGTCCCGCTTCCGCTTATGCGGGACCGCTTCTCCGCGCCAAAAATCCCCGCATTTTGCCGGTCCTCATATAAAAAAAACCAACTTCCGCTTTGCGGGCTCAAGATTCCCGCTTCTGCGGAATTCCCTCCTAACAGACCAAAACCGCTGATGCGAAAAGTGTTTTCGCTTTCTGCGGAAACCTACTTTTACCAAACCCACTGACCTGCTTCTCTGCGATAGGCCTCACCCGTTTCTGCGGAACCGCTTCTGCGGTTCATTTCGCAGAAGCGAAATACTAGATACCAGCAAAAATGAACCTGCAAAACCACTTTAAAAACTCTCCGTTTAACCACTCGAACTCACCCGAGGCCCCCGGGACCTCAACAGCAAAACAACTAACACATCCAACAGACCTTTATTCAATCTTGTCCAATACTCAAAACACATCAAACAACGCTAAAACCATCAAAATCACATCAAAAGATTCAAGCTCTCTGAAGTCTTTTAAAACCTTCCAAATTGCACATTTCAATCAAAAACCCGACCTACCAACACCTCCGAATGACCTGAAAACTTTGCACACATACCAAAATTACCTAACGGAGCTACTACAACTCGTCGGAATTCCATTCCGACCCTCGGATTCAAAATCAACCTATCCACCAGAATTCGCCAAAAATGCCAACTTTGCCAATCAAAGCCATATATTTTATCTCCGGCCTCCAAAATCACTTTCGATCGCGACTCCTTAAAGTCACAAAATCACCTCCCGAAGCTAACCAAATCACCGAAATTCACATTACAGAGCCTTTCTAACTAATAAGTCAACGTTCAGTTGACAATTTCCAAACCAAACCTCTTCCTTAAAGAGTACTAAGTGTCTCATTTCCTATCCAAACCAATTTCAATCTAAACTCTAACTCACCCGTTTGCCCACCCTGATAATAAAATATGAAAAGAGCAATAATGGGGGAAACGGGGCTGTAATACATGAGACGACGGGTTGGTCGTCACAGAAAATCAGCAGCATATCTTACCGAACAATATTAAATAATAAATAACATGTATATGTCACGAGCTTATTGTTATCTCCGTATGACCTAAAGATCACGGTTCAAAGCCGTGAAATTAGCCGCTGATACTTGTTCCAGTTAAGCTGCCTACATTATAACCCCTTTGGGTGCGGCCCTTCCCCGAACCTTACGTGAATGCGGAATGCTTTGTGCACTAGACTGTGCACTTTTATTATATGAAAATAAAGAAGAAAATAGAAACTTATAGAGGAGACCTTGACCTCAAAAGTACTTACGTTGAAAAAATTGAAATGGCTTTATACGTGAAATGTTCAATAGATTACTCTACGTGCATGGTATTCAATGCAAAATTGATACAATTTATACCTTTCAAGAAGTAAAATTGTAGGCTTAACTTTTGTTACAAAATAATCATGATCCTATATATATATTATATATATATATATATATATATATATATATATATATATATATATAAAAGAGCAACTCATCGTTGCTATTACGAGTTTAACTTTTGTGCTTCATAGGTCAGTAAGTCTTTATACCATCAGATCACGGTAATCTACGACATGTTACACAAATGCCACTCGATTGAGAGCTATATATATAACTTAAATAGTTCTATTAACAAAATGAACTTCTCTTGCTTGAGGGGATTGTAAGAGGGTGGATTTCAATATAAAGAACAATAAAGGGATCATGCAATAAAGGAAACAAGCATCTAATCATTCAACTGTTCAGTCTTTTTGCGGAAAAGAAAAGTAAGAGATGCATTCTTTCCTTTTTCCACGTGAAAAAAAAAGAAGAAGGAAGATGGATTCTTTTCTTTCCCACCTGGATCTCGTGTTTATAAGCTCTTTCTTGACTCTTCTTCTAACTTTTTCTCCCCATATAGAGGAAAATATTGAATTATCAACCAATAAGTAACCAGCTACTCATCATTACTAAAATTTACGTATCAAATTCAAAATCAACCACACTACAGTATTTTAGGCCTACAACCACCCTTGAGAAGTGTGGGCCTAAGATGCCAAGAAGTGTAAGCATTTGGGCACAGGCAATACTTTACGACTTTAGGCAACGCTTTTTGGGGGGTGGCCTAAAGTACCGTAACCTTTGACTATTGGCCACGCTTTGTAGGTGTTGCCTTAGAAGCCACGCTTTAAAAGCGTGGCCGATACGGTACAAAGGCCACACTTATATTTTCTCATATAGCCACGCTTTTATGACATAAGACTACACTTATGAAGCGTGATCTTTGTCACATTATAGGCTACGCTTACAAAATGTGGCTTCTAGAGCAACATTTATCATATAACAATGCTAGATTGACAATCCCTATGGCCACACCTTTTAAGCGTGGCGATTTTGTCTACACTACAAAGTTATTTTTCAAATACTTATATTAGCCACAATTTTGTGGTTAAAAAACTATATTTGTTTGTATCAAATTATGTTCTCTCTCTCTCTCTCTCTCTCACACACACACACACACACACACTACGTACAATACATATATATATAATATATATATATTATTATATATATATATATATATATATATATAAATATATATATATATATATAATCAAGCATTAAATTAGATAATAAGTAATAGAATAATAATAATTCAATGCAATACTTAAAATAAATTTCAACAAAGAAACATACTTTGTGTACTGTCTATAGTAAATAAAGCACTGTTGGTTCAAGAGTTCACTAGCAAAGAACCTCTACAATAACCAAATGTATTCATATTTATAGAATCAATAAAAATAACATCCCAATTGTTTCAAAAAGGTTTTTTACCATTCACTTTAATGAATCAAATTGATTTGTGACCACCATATCCAATTGCATCACCCGTATTTTTCCTTACACATTCAAATAAAATTAAAAATTAGGAAAGAAATATATATATATATATATATATATATATATAATATATATATATATATATATATAGTATACACCGGAGAAATCATGATTTTGTAAGTTAAGATTGAGGTAGTTTTTAAAATTGGGAAATATAATTACCTTTTCAAGATTTGAGGCGTGAGTTGAGCCAGATGAATTTGGTAGATTTTGGCCTCTCATAGCTTGTGCACTACTTGCATCAACTGGTGAATGAATATTAGATCCAACACACCCTTGTATATCATGAAAATCTAGTCCAGGGTTGTTTTTTACCATTTGACTAAAAAACCAACGCATTTCTTCTCTCATTATTTCCTTCATTTCTTCCTTCAGAGAAGTTATTTTATCGGCATGCTTTTGTTTAAGCTTGGTGATTTCTTCATCTTTTTTCAGAGAGCTTGTCGTCACCCGATCTACCATAACATCTAACCCGACCAGGCTGCTCCTTTCCAAATACAGCCCTAAATGCATCATCTGCTGTTTCTCCGGAACTTTGACGATTCTGAAGTTCAGACTGTCAAAAAAATATTATTGCACATCACTTACAAGTCAAGATAGAACGAACACTAATGTGCACAAATCAGATTAGCAGTGCAGAGATTCTAAAAAATGTGCACAAATCAGATGTGCTCACAAATCAGATGTGCAAAATGGCAAAAGGAGGCCAAATCAGATTCTACAAAATGTGCACAAATCTTCTGTGCATGAGAATGAGGCCACGCATCTGTTAGAATCAGGTTCTCAAGTTGTGAATCAATTAAATAATCGAGAGTGGACAGAGGTAACTCGATCTCATCCATCACTTAACAAAAAGAAAAATCCAGACCATGATAATCAGATTATTATATAATCAGATTTTAAATTTTTGGCAGTTGTGAAAAATTGATTCATACACATTATAATGTAAAATAACTGAAGGAGGAGGCTGGGATACTGCAGCTGCACCTGTTCCAGTTCCTGTGCCAGATGTTGCCCCTACTGCTGGCGCCACAGGCTGGGAATGAACCTGTTTCCTTTAGGAAACTCTTCTTCCCTTCTGGATAAAGAGTAGACATCGTGTGTTCTACAATAGTTTTGTTCATGGCACAGTTAAAGGATTTTGTGTCTTGTGGATCTACCGAATTGTTTAGTCATTGCTAGCACGATTTTTTAGAGAATTTCAAAGTGGTTTTGTTATCAAGAGGTGGAAACTGTCCAATTTGTTATTACTGCCGTATCCCAAAATGGATAACCAAATTCTCTTTAGGAGGGTTTACTTTATAAAAAAAAAAAAAACTCAGCTCATAAGCACCGACTAATAATTCTATTGAACAAACAAAGTAATTTCACTTCCTGGAAGCATTTCTTTTGGTCAAATCTAGAGGTGGCAAAATGGTTATAAGAAAACAGTTATTCACCCATATTATCAATCAAAAAATGGGTTGGATAATGAACCATTTAAGAACAAATTTTACACTGCTCTATTCATGAACAATAAGCTAAAGGTCAATATTTTCCAAAAGAAACTACAGATATGCGTATGGACTTTGTTCAGTTAAAGAAACACATTCATTAAAGAGAAAAAAATACAATAACAAGACTTAACTTGCAGCATGACTTACTATTGCAACTTGAGTATCTGTATGAACTTCCTTCCCTTTCTTTGTACGAGTTGTAATAAACATTTCAGACTTTGATGGTTCCTCGTTGTTCTCTTTGGTTGCACGCTACAAATTACTTCAAAGAAGATATAAAAAAGATATCACTTTGTTCCGACAAAGTACAAAAAGAAATAAAAGTAAGATTACAAAGTATCGACTAAATATTACCAATGCCACACGCACTCTTGCAAAATTAATAGGTCCCATTCGATGCCTCCACTTTTGTTTTTTCCTGTTTTCAGAATTCAATTGGCTCATAGCCTAACAACAAAGGAAGCATATTAACTAAAAAATCAAAAAGGAAAAAAATATACTGCAACAATAGGTAAAAAATGTAGAAATGCACGGTTTAATCTTACTTGGACATCTTCGTTATCCCAATACTCAATCAATTGACGGAACTGAACTTCAGGTATCTCATTGGGACGATTTTGTAGCATTTGTTCAATAGTAGCATTTTTATCAAAATATTTCTTCTTAATATTCCTCTTGTGTCGCTTCCAAGCATCACGAAGACCAGTCATTACCCACTTCTCTCCTTCAGCTGGAATTAAGAACTTGGACTATGCAAAACAACACACACACACACACACACACATATATATATATATATATATATATATATATATATATATATATTTCTTTTCTTAGTAGGAAAAATACAAAAAATATATAATTGAAAAATTGATTAATCTTACATTGACATATTCCCACATTCGTTGATTAATATCCTTTGACACAGCATGCCAACTAGTATGCACCAAGGGGATAAATCTTGGATTCCTTGCAATTGTTCCTAAAAAGTTGGTCAAATCAGATACTTTCTTGTCAGTTGGTCCAACTGCTTGTCCTTTATCAAATATCACCTCCTCTCTTTCTTCAAAACTTCTTGCATGAATATTCTTACATGTTATTTTTTCTCGAACTCTTTTCTTCTCTGATGTCCCTAGATTGATATAACAAGCAAGACATAAGAAGAAAAATCAAAATATGTAAAATAATTATAAGGTCTAAGACATACCACCTGCAGCACCATCGATGTTCATATCCTCATCTCCAATAAATTCATCGTCACCAACTTCATCTTGTGCAGCAAAATTATCCAATTCTATTTCACGCTCATCAATAATAGGAGAGGACATAAATCTAACTTCATTTTTTGGGTGATTATCAGGATGTTTTTCACCACCGACTTGTATCCCATATTTTTTTAGAAACTGATTAACACTCGTCGACAGTAGGACTGAGTTTGTCTTTACCTTTTTGCAATTTTGTAGCTCTTGAATATCAAGTTGTTTCTCTCCTTCACCTTGTGTTCTTCTAAGCATATGTAAAGTGTTAGGATCTACCTTTGTAGATGATTGGATCATGGATGTGGGCACAGGTAATTTACTCATTCCTTGCTTTTGAATGGGCTCCTCCAATTGAATTGACCTTTGTTTAATTTGCCCTTTACTTGCAATATTATGTGAAGTGTTTAGATCTTCCCTTGAAGACGATTGGATTGATTTGTACACCGGTAATCTATTCCTTCCTAATGATACTGAACAACCTGATGCAGTAGTTTATGATGTTGATACTGTGACTGGTGAGGGACATGAACCTGTAAGTGTTGAGGATTTAGAGAAACAAAATGCTACAGCATCTAGATTGGACAAAATGGAAAACTCGGCTGGAGGTTTCCAATCCAATAATGATACTTGGAAAACTACTGTTCTATTGACCCCCACTGTTGATAGAACAGATCTGGATCCTATGGTGACAATTACAGGAGGTTGTCGACCTACTAATGCTACTACTGAACAAGTTGGTAAAGGAGCAGGCTTCAAAGATGTCACCGTGAATGGTGAGGGGTATAAACATGTCGAGTCTTTGGAGTGGAAAAATGCTGCAACATCTAAGTTTGAGAATCGACCAGCTATTGATAAAAGAGCTGGGCAATGGAAGGTAGTTGCTGCACAAAAATCTGAAGCTCAAGGTGTGCAAAATGTAAGAACTGGAGAAGATGTGGAAATTAATATTGAATGAAATCATTTCGATGTTATGGCCATCGAGTTTGCAGCTTCTACATGTTCAAAGGCATGGTATGTAGATAATTAAATCACAACTGGAATGGAGCAGGCTGCACTAGGGGTTTTGAAAAATGCTGAAGCTCTGAATGCAGGTAGTGCGATGCAGCAGCAGCAACAATTGAATAAATTAGGGACGAAATTTGTTTATTTTGATGCTCTTAATGCACAAGAATATAATGAAGCTATACCAACACTGCAATTTTCCAATCCAAAAGTTGCTAAACTCGTTAAGGAACCCCAGGCAACCTTTTTGAGGGATTCTATTCCTAAGATCAAGTAGCTAATGGTTACACTGAATAAGTCTGTGCAGGAGGTTCCTTCCCAATCCATGGAGTCATGTGGAGAACAAGAGATTAATTCTGCGCAACAACTTCTATCAACAGACAAACGTGTAGAGAAAAGTATGGATGCATTATCTCAAGAACACTCTACAAATAAGATGATGTCTAATGAGCAACAAATTGTGACAAACGATCGTCAAACATGTGATGCTCAATGTGAACACGATAAAGAGGAGGAATTTGAGAACAACCTGGAAGATAGTGATGAAGAATCAGACCATGGATCATATACCTCAATTGAGGAGGCAGTGGACATGCGCAATAAGCAGGTTTCATGTTATTGGTGTACAACATCTAAGTTTGAGAATCGACCAGCTATTGATAAAAGAGCTGGGCAATGGAAGGTAGTTGCTGCATAAAAATCTGAAGCTCAAGGTGTGCAAAATGTAAAAATTGGAGAAGATGTGGAAATTAATATTGAAGGAAATCATTTCGATGTTATGGCCATCGCGTTTATGAATCTGCAATAGAGTTTGCAATATTTTGTAACACCAGAACAAAAAGATTTCATAAACTTATTATTACAACCCCTACACCTTCCTCCGCTACCCCCCCCCCCTCCCCCTCAATATATCTCTAAGAAATCTCAAATATTCAAAAGAATGAATGCTGTACCCGACACTTCTGGTATTCTGAGGCGCGACTAACATGGTAAAAGAACAAATCAGCCTAAGACGTACTGTACGTCAGATTAATCAACAGGAATATGACAATCAAAAGATAACAAAGCTGATTTGTAGAATTAGGCTCACAAATCTGCTAGGATATTAAAATAAATCACTAATCTTGAAGACTAGAAGAGGAATAATTAATTTATAGTTCATTCTTTTCTGGAATAAGTATCAAATTAGATATGAAACTACAGCAATCAGAGACCATAAGATGGTAAAATATTGGAATAGAACAGCACCAACCTGAGATTGGAAGAATTCCCGTTTCTCTAGCTTTATAAATTTCTTCAATCTGGAACGAGGAAGGCGAGAAGGTGAAAAACAGTACCTAAGAGAAAGGGGAAACGGAATTCTTCCTTTGAGATGATACTTTGAAAACAAAAACACTACCCAAAGTAGGGTGAGAAGGTGCAGAAATTAAGAGTACCTAATCTTCCCGGTGCAGAAATTAACAGTACCTAATCCTGAAGATTCAGTATCCACAATTGAAGCCAGAAACCCTAATTAATGTATCCACAGAGATGTTAGCGATGGAGAGAGATCTTTTTGTCCTTTTGAAATTGAAAAAATAATATTTTACCTAGAGTATATCGGAGGGAACATTATATTTTTTGGAGGGAATATTATATTTTAGCCAAATATTTTGTTGGACTTTTAGAGCACATTTATAAAGTGTTGCTTTTCCAATTATAATAAGAGCACGCTTAAAAAGAGTGCCACATACTCAAGTAAATGTTGCCAATTATTTTATAATTTAGCAACGTTTAATAAGTGTGGCCTAATAAATTAAAGAGCACATTTTACAAGCGTAGACAAATTTTCCGTAGCCAAAAGCTCCATATAAAGGCCACCCCTTAAAAGTGTGCCCAAATATATTTTTGGGCACACTTTTCAGGCGTTGTTTAAAACTAGTGTGGCGTTAGACCATAATTGTTGTAGTGCCAATTGATTAATCACCATATTATTACTTAGATTTGCACATTCATGTTAGAGATTTGAAATTTTAATCACAGCAGTATTATTGACGAATTCAATCGCTTTTGATTATTTTCACACATGATGTCTGGCTCATCACCGACCAGTCACATTTTGTGAATCATGTCAAAATGTTTCGACTATGATATAAGTATTTATTACTAGATATAAGAGCAGGTCAAGCCTTATTGGTCCATGAACATTGATTATGCACTTATTAAATGTAGTTAATTATATTAACATCGAGAACCATTATCTTTATTTGAGAACATCATCCAACAAGATTAAGAAACCTTAATCCTTTGAACCTCAAGCACATACACGTCACATGCATGTCGAGTGGAACTATAAAATGATTATGAGCTACAAACTTTTTTTGATGACATTCGGTGGTACGAGGCTGGCCCATTCTATTTTTGGCGAATTAGGGCACCCATTTTCTAGTTTTTTCAATAAAATATATACATTTTAAACCTACACAAGTGACAACACATACTGTAGATCACAATTTTTTTAGCACAAAAAGAAAGTAGTGAAAAAATTGGAATGACTTCTCAAATAGGATTAGTACCAGCGTACGTAGCTATTTCTTTCAATCCATAGTACATTATACAAAAGGATGCGCAATAGTTTGAAGATTAAGAAAATGAAAATGAGTAAAACCGGTTCCATAGTTTAAACTTGGAGTAAATTTTATGGGTGGTCATTCAGCTTTGTGTTCATTATCTAAAAGTCACTTTTTTTTGTTACGTAACAGTCATTCAACTATGTGTATATTACCTAAAAGTTACTTTTCTTTCTTTTGTTATACAAAAATTATTTTACTATGCTCTAATTATCACAATATCACTTTGATCAGATATTATAAAACTTTCAAATGAAAAGTCTATTATGCCCTTGACATTATAAATGCTCTCATTTATGTAATACCTTCTATATTATATTTTATATAATATATTTTTACCTAGGTATTTTACTTATAATTAAAATAAACTTTATATTATTTTATTTATTATTTTTATAATATATTCGAACATTTAAAGTTTTCTAAACATTAATTTTTAAGATATATAGGTAGCATTATTAATTTGCCACTAACCTTATTGTGAACAAATCTCAAGTTAACGTTCTTAACCATGCCTAATGAAATATTTTTAATAAAAATTATAAAATTAAAGCTCATATATTTATGAGACAAGCCATATTCGTTAATCTTATAAACAAAATACCTACATTTAGAATACTAATACATCAAATTAGTAGTTTTAAATAAATAATATTAAAATATAATACTTTCAACAGCAACAAAAACATGCCCAGTATTATCCCACACCGTGGGATCTGGGCAGGGTAGTGTGTACGCAGACCTTACCCCTACCTCGTGAGGATAGAGGGGTTGTTTCCAATAGACCCTCGGCTCAGGAAAGTATAATCACCACATTAATGAAAATATACACAAGAAGGAACAATACCAAAAAAGCCATATAAAAGCAGAATAAAAACAACAAGATAGTAAGGTGATCAACAATGAAAGAAAACAATGGTTAGTCATAAAAACCTACTACCAACAAAAAGTGAGACTGCATGCCAATACTTCTGTTATGAACACTCTAGACTACCTACTCTATTACCGTAATCCTTGACCTCCATACCTT